GCCAGGCAATATCGATCGCCGGGCGGTCACATCTCGCTACGCGCTCGAATTGGACAGTGGGCAGGGCAAAGACGACGATTTTCGATAATTTTTTTCTCGTTAACTATTGTGAAAATTGCAAAATGTTTCAGGACTTTTCTGTTCATCTCGATCCGTTCTACCTTCTCACGAGCTCGTGGACAAATGTTATAACTCACCCTGTATAACCATAAAAAATTAATTTTTTTCGAAAATTTATTTTACCATTATATAGCCCTTTTAAAACCGTATAACTTTTGTCTGAAACATATTTTTCTAAAGTGCAGTTTATGAGATATTAGGGTGTATCCAGACTTTTGGCCCTGTATATGTTTCTTAAACGTATCTAATGTTCAGTAAACGTTTATGAAAGGTATAAAAATCAATACGTGCTACACAAAACAAATATTTTATAAATAGGTTGAAATTTTAATTTTAACAGTTTTTCGATAATGCTGAAGAAGGAAGCACAAAAAATTTGCTTCTATGTGAAATCTAAGAAAAAAAAGCCTGAAGTGTAAAATATACTCATATGCGCACATTGAAAGATTAACTGTAGAAACGTAAGAAATACGTTTCTTAAATCATGGTTTCTAAAACGTTTCCGTTCTAACGTTTCTCAATGGTTCTTTACGGTTATGTAACTATATATACGTTTAAAAAACGTATATGAAACCAATATGTGCTATCAGGGTTGTTTAGGGAGGGGAAATCGGCGATATCTTACAATTAATACTACACTTATTTTTATTCCTATTTACTTTCTCATTTCTAATTAGTATATATGCATTCTCACTCACAGTTTTACTTTTTGTAACTTTGCTCTCGCACTTTAAGGGATTTGTCCTAGAGCATGTGATAAATAATGACTCTGATTTTGACTTTGATTCTCTGTCTCCCTGTATTTTCTTTTTCTTTGATTTAACTACATACTTTTTTCATTTAATACATACTTGTGGTAATTAAACATTGCCTAGTTTTTATATTAGAAGCAATAGTTTGAGGAAAACATAGTTGATTATGTAAAATATTTTATTCCAATGTCGCTAGTTCCTTTTGCTTGAAATATTCTTGTCTGAAACTCTCGTTTATGGTTTTCCCGATTTTCGTTCTAATCCATACGGGTGCAATAAGAGTGAAGAACTTCTGAATACTGTGAGCCCAGTAACCAGTACTGCTGTCCATTTTGCCCAGTGTGACAATGGCGTTTCTTGCATAAGTCGTGGCATCGGGTACAAATATGCTTGAAACCTACAGTTTTTGACAAAATTTACGCATATAAAAATTTTTCCAATAACTGCAATAGAACGCAAACGTAAAATTAAATGCAAACTAGAATATAAAATTGGAGTATAAAGTAACAAAGTGACTCATTGAAAATGTGTCTCAACAGTTCTAAAGTTCCGATTGCTTCGATAATTTGACATAACTGCTATTTAAAATAATATTATTTCAACAATGCAATGGTGTTAGTACCTGAAGCCTGGAACTAAACGCGTTCATTTTCGTGTTGACGAAAAGAGGTGACAGGTGTTGAATGGTTATACCGAATCTGGAGTATTCCACCCTGAGAGCTTCGGAGAAGCTTTTCACGTACGCCTTCGTAGCGGCGTATACCGTCATCAATGGCAACGGCTGAAACTCAGATCCGGAGGAGACGTTGACAATTGCGCCTTGTTTGCGTTTTTGCATCTGCCCGATAACCAGTCGTGTCATTAGCGTAGTGGCGCCCACATTTACATTGATAATGTCCCACAGTTCCTTCTCGGGTACCTCTCCGACGTACATGGGATACTCGTATTGCTTGCCCACATTATTCACTTAAAACAATAAAAAATTCGTTGCTTCCTTGAAAAAATACACCTTAGAAAACCTTAAAATTTTACTTTAGAAAAATAAGAAATATGAAAAGTAAGTTTGGACATTTTATTTAAGGTAAACTTAAAACTTACTTTAAGAATTAAAAATATAATTTATAATACCGCGTGCGGTTTTCTTCTTACAAGAAAGTGCTATACCGTACGGTCCTCTAGCGGGAACTCGGACAGGCTTGGTTATCTAAAAATTACTTCAAGTATCCAAAATTACTCTAAAATTTCTTAAGTAAACTTTTAACTTCTTTAAGTAAACTCTTAGATTTTTCTTCTTAGATTACTTTTGAAACCTTTAATTTTATTTAAAGTAAATTTTCCCAAAGGTTATACACCGTTTCACATTTTATATCCACAAACGTTTCATTCAATGGCCTTTCATATGCGGAGAGACAAATTAATTTATATCTTACAATTAGTTTATGTACCCATGACTTGTACATTATCGTGTTATGTATTATCTGTACTCTTTATTTCACGAGACAATGACCTCTGCGCATCGGATAATAAAATGTGGAAGGGAGAGAACGTTGCCACGTCATGACAATGGCTGCGTTCAGCAGAAAAAGCTGCTTTGCAACTGTTGTGAAAATCGTGAATTTGATTAGCGTATTTTCTTAATCTTGAATGAATTTAAAAGCATACGTCAATCAGATTCATGAATTTTACAACAGTTGCAAGCAGCTTTTTCAGCTGAACGTAGCCATTAAGTAGCAAATAGTTGTTAATACACTCTGCGCTACAAAAAGAAGTGCGTCTAATGTTTTGTTGACATCGATGATCGTTAAACAAAAACAAAAACATGTATTTGCAATATATTTGCTTGTGTATTGTAGTGCTAATATTTGCAAAAAATGTTGAACAAAAAATGTGTTCTCCTGATTTTATAGATGTGTCTTAACTTCTTGTGTGTTAATCCTTGAAAATGATCACAATCCGAATGGTCGAAATGTTGGATGTAACCTATTAAATAAATAATACACACCATCTGCCACTTGGGTCGTTTAATAATCTTCTCTACATTATATAATTATAAATTAATACAGCTGTTTTGACGTATCTTTTTATTCACGAAGTTACATTAACGACGTTTCGATCGTGAATTACGATCCTCTTCAGGTTTTAAGAGAGACGAACAAGAGCCAAACATTAGCTCGACAATTGTGGCAGCAAAAAGTTGAATCTATGAGAGTGAAAACAGAAACAGAAGAGTGAAAACTATTGAGTGGTGTGGATGTTTCGCCTGATTCCGTGCTCGATACAATTCCACAGATGCTCTTAAATTGGAAAAGAATTTTTTACTTGTACTACATTTTGACGAACATTGCTGTTCATAGATTCAACTTTTTGCTGCCACAATTGTCGAGCTAATGTTTGGCTCTTGTTCGTCTCTCTTAAAACCTGAAGAGGATCGTAATTCACGATCGAAACGTCGTTAATGTAACTTCGTGAATAAAAAGCCAGATACGTCAAAACAGCTGTATTAATTTATTGATTAACATACTGGCGAAGAAATAACCACATTATATAATTATTTTCTTAATCTTAGACTTTCACCATTTCTTAAGTAATGATTATGATATTTAATATATAAGGCACTTTTGTGAAAATATAAGTCCACTTTTAAAGATTACTCTTTCTTGATGTTTGTCAATTGTGCGGCTCGTTGATATATTTGTTGGCCTCAAGAAGGTATTTACAATGTTGTATTACATTGTGAAACTCGTAAGTATACGATACCGATTCAATACTGATTAAATTGAGTACGTGCATCAACTGAGTCTAGTGATCTCGACCGAATGGCTTCATGAAGAAATGAAAATATACTATTTGACATCTCGTGATCTTGGAATATTAGGCCTGCGTTCAACAACATCACCCTAGTACGCCTATGAATTATTTTATTCTTTTTAACATTCGGTGAACAACAAGGAGAAAATAATACACGGGGCACTCGGGCGATGTTATTGAACGCAGCTTTGGTGACCCGCATGGGGTAAATTACGCTTCAGTTTCGCATGCATGAATGGTGGAAATGTTTGGACGCAAACGAATTAACAATTATATGTATAATGCTATGAAGAAGGGTACGTTTGGAGTATATCGGTACAAGGTAACAAGTACTTAGGTATCGGTACAAGTACCCAGAAATAAATGTATATGTATATATCTAATCATATCTGAGTATAACTCAATAAGCAGATATGAATTTTGTTCCTAGTCAATCGTATATAACGTAAATATAAAATAAATGTGAGTTATTGTTTGATAACACATATTTATCTTTAATAACACACAAATATGTTCGAAATATTTAAAAGATTTATTTTAATATTTTACAAATATTTAACAAAATATACAGGGTGTTAAAAAAACCTGTAAATGTATATGATCATATTATTATATACATACAATATGATCATACATATCTATCCAATCTAAGACTATAAAAATATCTATAAAGTATTTTGATAAATATTCATAAAGTATTAAAATAAATCTTTTAAATATTTTGTACATATTTGTGTGTTATCAAACAATAACTCACGTTTACTTTATACACAGTCCGACAATTTTCCACCCAGACTTTCCTCATAAAATCCAAACAATTCAATATTTATTAAAATTCTGAATTCTAAAATCTTCTAACGATATATATAGTTCCGACAAATAGCGCCACGTGTTTAGGCGAGAGATTTAAAGTCTGGGTGGAAAATTGTCGGACTGTGTATATGATTCGCTAGGAACAAAATTCATATCTGCTTATTGTGAGTTAGATATACTCAGATATGATTAGATATACAGGGGGTAGACAAAATAATGTGAACACTATGCTAAATATTACACATTTGTTTATGTTGGGCCTTCTGCCAAGGTATGAACGGTGCGGCGTGTATATGTAGTGCACTTCATGTATATAGTAACCGTTCTAGTTTATATTTCAATATACTACTCGCTTTGTTCTACCAGAGAGAAACCTGAGAGCGGCCACGCCGGCGTTTTACTTGATACCGTTTCAAGAGACTGTTTTGCATGCCTTTACACCCATTTTTACTTTTGGAACTATTTTGCTATGCATCTTCTGACACTACCGATAAAGTCACCACTTTGTGCGTGTCCATGCTACGCCTATTTTTCAGGATTGTGCTGTGAAATTCAAAATTACATTAACATAAATTATCTGCATGATATTTACATCAACTTTTCTCATGTAGACAATGTAAATTTTATAAATTAGATGTCAGAATGCATAGCACAGACATGTACCAAGTGGAAATTTTATCGACAGAGTCAGAAAATGCGTAATAAAATAGTTTCAAAAGTAAGAATGGGAGTAAGAGCGCGTAAAACAGTCTCCCGAAACGGTATCAAGTAAAACGCCGGCGAAGCCGTTCTCAGGTTTCTCTCTGGTTCTACGACGGTGTTAACAATCGGATGGTGAAATGGGCGACCTGTCAGAACTTCGAAAGAGGCCAAATGAGTGCTCGGTTAGCAGGAGCATCTGTGACAAAAACGACTGAACTGTTTAACGTTTCACGAGCGACAGTATCCACGGTGATGACAGTTACACAAAACATGGCAAAACAACATCTGCAAAGAGAAGAAGTGGGCGCAAAACAACGTTAACAGATAGGGACCGCCGAATTTTAAAAAGGATTATGGCCAAGCAACATAAAACTACCGCAGCAAAGATGACAGCAGAACTTAACAGTCACTTGAACAATCCTGTTTCGACAAAGTGCCACGATCATAAAACTTGGACGATTGATGATTTGAAGAATGTAGTATGGTCCGATGAATCATCGTTTACTTTGTTCCCTACAAATAGCCGGGTATATGTATGGAGAACTCCCAAAGAAGCCTACAATTCGGACTGCTCACTCCCCACAGTCAAGTACGGGGGTGGCTCCGTGATGATTTGGGCGGCTATATTATGATATTCCGTTGGCCCGATTATTACCCTCAATGGCCGTATTACTACAAGTGAATATCTCGACATCCTCAACGATGAAGTCTTACTGTGATCAGTATATTGCTGCCAAATACTGCCATATTACAAGACGATAATGCGCCCGTACACACGGCTAAAAAAGTTCAGTCTTAGTTCGAGGAACATCGAAATATTATCAAGCATCTTCCCTGACCAGCACAATCGTCAGGGGGCGTGCAACGGGGGCCATCGGTCCCCTTCCCGCGCCCACCCCGCCGCACAGTGGGGACAAATAAAAATTTACTGTTCAAAAATCGCAATAGACCGTAATTCTTAACCGATTGAGATGATTTTTTTTAAATTAATCGTAAAGAAATTTCCAAAAAAACTGTGGAGTTCGATTTTTGTTATGCGACATTTTCATCTCGCAATTGGACAGTTATCGGAAGAAGCTGCA